AAAAAAAAAAAAAAAAAAAAAAAAAAAAAGAACCCACAGAAACAAATAAACATTTAAACGAACATTAAACCGCAAGCACACCGCACAGGCGAAGGGCCTTGTTCCACACGTGACTAAAGAATGCTCACATTGCAAGTGTAAGGGGGCCCTTATCTGGGGGTCGTGATTAATGTACCCTATAAGTTGATTTTTCGATCCCACAACCCCTACACGGAAACCCTAGAGACGACTGCCCTCGAACCTCGAGGGCTGACGTGTTCATGTCAGAACCAGTCGTCTTTTGGCGACAGGATGACAAAAAATAAAAGTTAAAAAATGCGACCTCCAAAGGCACCCTTGAGGTGTTGGAAGAAAAGGCTGGGCGGCGGCACCCTACACATTAGAAATGTAGGGGACTTAGGGGACTTCCATTTCATCGTCGTTAGAGCGCGGTGGAATGATGCTTCTCCTATAATCCTTTTACATTTCAGGTGGTGTGGAACGAGGCCCAAACTTTTGAGTAGAAAATGAGCACAGTTCTGAAACTCTTGTTCTGTCACAGCCCCTCTTTCGTTGTTCTCTTCTCCCTTTCTGCCTACTACAGTTCATCCAGCAGTTCTGGACAATGATTCGACTCCAACGAAACAGTCTTTCACAGCCCCTCGTTCGCTGCCCTCTTCTCCCTCTCTGCCTACGGCTCAGCTGGCAGTTCTCTATGATGATTTGTATGTATCTTGCAATGGTGCAGTGATGGATTGTGCCAACAATACCATCACAATCCATCAGTGCGCACCATCAGACGCTGGATCACTCTTGACTGGTCACCCTCCCTAAGGTAAAGAGAGTGAAGCGATGTTCAGTGGAAGGTTTCCTGTCGTGGCTCCACAGCTGCAGCAAAGGCGACAGAGATTGCGACATTCGTGTGTCTCCCCAGCGCACACGGGCACACGCTTCTTGTGTATCGATGTCCAGATGTGGCGTGTTTTTGCCTTTCCGGCAGACGGGTGTGTACATGCTTCTTGTATAACGATGTGACAGTCCAGATGTGGCGTGTTTTTGCCTTTCGGGCAGACGGTTGTGTAAGCAATTGGCAAGGACACTAATGTTGCACTCTTCTTAGTGCTGTAGGTTTTGGTTGGATTTTGCATTTGATGTTAGATGACGGATTTTGCATTTGATGTTAGATGACGCGACAAGCTCAAGCATAGGCTCAACGCATGCACAAGGATTTCGTATGTATTTACGTTGTGGAGGGCTGCTGGCCTGGTGGGCGAGTGGTGTGCTACACCAGCTGCGGTAGCCGTAACGACTCAGGGAAACGGCTTTTTGCAGATGGAGCAAACGGTACAGAATATGCTCCCTCAACCGCTATAGTGCTTTGGTATGTCGTGGGAGGTATGGTGGGGTTAGTAGGGGTGTGGTCGGGAGATCTAATGAATTGAAAGGGGTAATATATAGGTTGGGAGGGAGTCGCATAAGGAATAAGGAGCGCTCTATAGACCATCAGGATAAGCAAAGGGCCAACTACTGACGGTGTCTGTCGTAAGGACCTCTACTATAGACCATCTCAGTGGATAGAGCACTGGTTGGAAATGCGCGTTGGGTACGAGGTTGCAGGTTCAAAACTCAGTCGCAGCCTCGTGTATGGACACCGGCAGGGCGTTTGAATGGCGCACGGCTGGACACGTACCCCCTTGGGCTGATTCATGGTATAAGCTATTACAGACATACTGCCTGCGGATGGCCTCCACACTGGCGGGGGCATTTAAAAAAAAAA